TCTTCGTGATTGATCATTCTACCTGATCAAATGTCGAGTCATGTACAGTTTTAAAGGATAAGGGTATTACCTTCTTCCCCTCTGAGTTTGCTTTCCTAGTGTTTCTACTTTTGTTCATATACAAAATATACACACATATACCCTTGCTAGCTAAGGAATCATAAACATTTGACGGACCCCTGATGTATAAAAGTACGATCAAAATCCCATTCTGCTCATTTCTAAATGAGTTTTAAAAACCTTATTAAAAATGACAACTCATTGAAAGCCAGTGCAGGTATTATTAGTATTTCTAGAACACTTCTTCTTGATGTGATCATAAGGAGTTTACGACAGGAGAGGATTTTTAGACGACTGATATAGTTCCTGAACAGACTAGTCTGATATATGTGTAGTTTGATTGGCTTAAGTTTTCATCTGTATTAATGTGTACTGCTGACTTTGGTATTTATTTTCTAAAACCTCATGTTTTAGCACAGTTACCTTTGCATTTCTTGGGAACTTCCCTTCTAAGACGCCACTTCAAAATGGCTTGGTGGTTTCCACATTGGGAAGAGAAGGTGGACTGAAACTTAAACCATAAACTTAAACTGCCATGCTAATTGGCAGTTACATTTTTTTGGCAAAAGTCTTCCCACCACTTTCATCCGCAGAAAATGCATCATATTGGTTTGCTGATTCTAGTTTCACTGAAGTCAAGTGTGCATTTTCCAATGTGTCCATCAGTATTGCTGTCTTGAGTGCAAAATCGCGTTCATGAATAGCTGTCAGGTACTTGGTATCATAGGATGAAGGGGTGCAGTTTGTATTGTTGGAGAGCAAAGAAAGATTCATATCTAAACAGAATGCAAATACATAAGCACATCTAAATGCTGTGTCTGTGGTTTGGGGTAGCTTTGGATATAGGTGACCCTGTTGGAAGGGCTTCCTTTTGGAGTAATTTGTAGCAGTAAACTAACTGGTAGCTTTATCTGTGTGAGTGAGATGTGCCCTTTTGACCCTTAAACAAGCTGTTGCGTCTACTGACCTTTCAGGAGAACAATGCCTTTATTACACTCCCGTATGGATTTCCTTGATCAGAGGTACCTTTTGAAGTCTTAAGTGCATAAAACTATAGGGAAACTTCTGTTTAATGGAGTTCAACCTCAGTAAGACACTCTTGTTTGTCTTGTCTGGTATAAAAAAAGAGTTTATGGGCTTTCATGTGCTCTGTGCAGGCTGAGCATGTGTTTAAATAATGTAACTATGCAGGTTTTTGAGCTTTAGTCCAGTATTTTTTTCTAAAGTGGGTTTCAGTGTGTTTAGTTTTTCTATTTAAGTATTGATGTTTTCACCAAAGTTTTCATCAGTCTTAGAAAAGGTGGCAAATGTTTTTTCAAAAAAATCTGTTTAGTACTGTTCACATGAAGCCAGAAGTTAGTATAACCAACCAGTGTTCAGATTGCATCTGAATAGCTGGCTTTGCTCTTTGTTTGGTATCCTTTCCATCTGTCTCATGGGGTTTTTTTCTAGCTGTTCACCTTCATGGTTCAAAGTTGCTTCATATCTCTTGTCTCTAAACATCCTTTTTTTTGGATGCCTGCCAAGCCACCTGGTTCTCTTCTGTCTCCTTTCTTAAGGATGTTGTGCAGCTGCTGTTTTACCCTTTTTTCTTGAGATTTCTTTTTTCCTTCTCAATCACTGATTTTGGATATGTAGGCCAGCCCTTGTCTCCTTGGTAGCCTTTTTCTTCAGAGAGTCTTTACTACTTGCCCATTGTGCTGGAAGAGAACACAGAAGAACATTTGAAAAAGCATTGAGAGGAATATCAGGTTAGGATTAAGAACTGCATTTTAGCCGCTGCATTTTGGATCTGCCGTGGATTCTTGGAATCCAAGCACACTGCAAGGTAATACTAAATACTTATGGTTTGGGTGATTAGGAAAAAAACTGTATTAGGTTGTGAAGAAGGTCACAGGGTGACAAATTCTAGAGTAGAATCCATAGCGGCACACTATGTAGCATGCTGTAAGTAAAGTTACTTTTTAAACTATGTGCTACCTCATCCCTTTACTGCTAGCTACTCTGTTTGGATTGTATCTGGTTTTGAAAGCTTTTTCTTTAATGGCGAGACAGACAAGACTTTTCAGTAGAGCTGATTTGCATTTCTATTTTGCAAGTAAACCAGAAGTTTCAGTACTTTTTTCCTCTTACAGGAGAGGAAGAAGTTATAGGTAAAATCTCTTGCCGAAGTGAAATTCGAGAACTTCATTAATGAACATACTGATAATGAAAAGAACGTGGAAAGTCGATGCAGTAAAGAAAATGCAGGTTGAGTAGATAGGTGTTCTTAGTGAGCTACTAAAACATCAAGAAGCTTAGTTTCTCCAATCTAGTATCTGTCTAGACTGATAAACCCATAGAGAACAAATGCTGTTGCTTTTTCTTTAAAAATACTGTTGTAAAACTAATTATATAAAAAGCTGGCATGTTTGTGTAACAACTGGGTGATTGAAGCAGAGATCTCCCTAGTTTGTGTCTATCTTGATGAGATTATGCGTGTAACTTTAGATTTGACAAATAAATAAGAGCAACTTGTTTAAAATAAAGAACTTTATTTGTAAATTTTAAAATTGAAAACGTGTCCCTAAGAACAACAGCATAAGACTTATCAGCAATGCTGTAGTGCAGGTATTCAGGTTAAATCTTTACAGCTGAACTTTGTAGCTGCCATCTCAGTGATACCAGCTCTTAATTCAAACTTATATTCACAGCATGGTTTTAAATTTATTCTGACATTGTTTTGCTTGTGCAGCCAAGTATATTTGACAAGACTCCATCACTGAAAATAGTTTACAGAAGTCTACATCTTAGTTGCATTTTCACATCAGTTCATTCATAGCTTGAGCTGTGATTTGGATCAATAGACCTTGATGGTGAACTATACGTTAAGCATGAAGCTGCCATTTTTTTATCTAAAACTTATATGTTGTGAGTCATTGGTACTGTTAGAAAACTGGTTTTCCTGTTAGAGTAGACCGGTTAATTGTGCCAGAAGGTATGTGCACCTCTAATTCGTTGAAAACGAAACATGTATGCTCATGCAAGTTACCTGATAAATGTATTTTTCTCCTTTTAGAGGTGGCCTCAGCAACATGCTGTTTCAGTGCTCACTACCTGATACCATTGAGACAGTTGCAGATGAACCACGGAAAGTTCTCCTGCGCTTATACGGTGCAATCCTGCAGATGGTGAGTACACAGAGTGCTTTGGGAGTGGGAGGGTTTCTGTAGCTTCACTGTAATATCTTTAGAGATCTACATTTGTGACACACTGTGCAACTTTATCCTTTGGGGAATGTGTTTTACCGGGTGGGGGGGGCATAGATTGCTAGCTAAAAGCAATTTTCTTTAAGGTTTGTTATTGTCTAGAACTTACACTCCTTTCTACACAGGTCCTGGCTGGCGAGTGTTAACTGAAGGCTCATTTGCTGTCTGTTTGAGCAGTAATGTTTTGTTTACGCTGTTAAGTTTGGACTGTCGTGTTTCAGAAAAGTTTACTTCTGTACAGAATGTAGGACTTTGACATAACTAGCAAGACTGCAAGAGACTAAACTGCTTAATTTTAATCTTGGTATCACTTATGAATCTCAGAGATTAGTTGAAGGTTTTGTCAAGCTTGTACAGTGCTCAAGCATTTTATTAGATCTCATGGGTAGTTGTGTTGCTGGAAAACTTGATCCTATAGTGTTAGAATAAGAATGAAGAGCGATCATCAGTACTGTACAGTCATCTCATTCCGAAACATGCTTTCCTAAATGTGTGATATGCCTCATAGCTGACACAGAAGCTTAAACAGATGTTTGTGGAACTCCTCTAATGTTACTTTTATTTGGTTAGTAAAATGTAAATAATACTGAAATTTGTCAAACCTTAAGAGAAGTGGTTGGCAAATCTGTTTCAAATGCTAAGGTTTAAAAGCAAGAATATTTTGTAAAGGTGATCTCTTCTAAATCTTACAGACCGTTACTGTAGGGCTGTACAGCAGATCTTCTTACCTATCTCTGCTAGACATTTGATTATATTGCAAATAAGTAATCATAATGTAAATGTTTAATGTTATGAAAAATTGCAGCTTCATAACATGACATTTGTATGTTAGCAATTGTTTCTATTTGACTTAGAGGGTCTGGTTTTATTATCCATTAATTTTATATTTTCCAGTACTTGGTCACTTACATTGCACAACTGATCCAATATCTGCAGGAGATTGACTGTTCCTGAAATTTCAGCCCATTCTTCCTGCTTCTGCTGTCTTGACCAAACTTATTAAAAGTTTCATTGGATAGTGTCACTTTACTGACTTTAAAGTCTTCCTTTATTATATTTATGTGAGTTATTAACTTTCCTGTGGTAGCAAACTTTAACAGAAATATGTAAAATATTCCAGTGGTTTGAAATAGCACGAAATGCTTGGCTACACCACTGTATGTGTGTTGGGAAAGTTAAACTCGAAAAGTGTGTAAAAGTTAATGAATTCAAGCTTAAATACTTTTTAGTTTAAGAGAAACCAAAAGCAGAGTGAAAAAAATGGTGGTGAGAGACTTTGTTTTCTAAACGATTTCTAGGATTAATACTAAGGTTGGGGTTTTTTTTCAAGATTATTAATGTTTTTAATGTAATGCTGGCTTAATATGTAGAATGCTTGAATAGGAACATGGGCTGTAAAACTTGTAGTAGTAGAGCTTCTGTTGCCCAAGAACTGTGAAGGAAAGTGGCCTTTCCCTTGTATTTCAAAGGAAAAGTGGACTTTAGAATTTGATTGTTCTCCTCTTCTCTCAGGGTGTTTAACTTGGCTTTTCTGTGCCCCTATGCACTGAAGAAATCAAAATTAATTTTTGGGCTCTAAAATCAGAACTAATTTGGTTTGAAAATTGAAAGTGTGTTCATAACTTTCTAACCTTTCTACTCTTGGTGTTGAAGGATCTTTTGAGATGTCTAACTTCCTTTATTTCCATAGTGGCAGTGAAATGACTGCTCTTGTTGGTGCAGTTCACTAAAGGTTAAGTAAGCAGAGAAAGTCCCAAGGTAAAACTTTCAGATTGCATTGAGGTTCACAATTTTTGTCAACAAACATTTGTCTCTTCCAGCCCCTCTACCTTAAATGCAAGTTAAAATATAAGCAAACTGTTTTATTGGGATATTTTGAAAACCTCACATAGGATTCCTATGAGTTTCTGGGTGGCATAAGCAGAATGTTATGACAAACCTGTTAAGAGGGAGTGATTTGATATTTTTTAGTAAAGTTGCTTAAGTTAAAAACCCTATAGAAATTAAGGGGCACTGCTTAAGTAAGTTGAGTTTTGAGACCTTATACTAAAATCACAACTTAATTCTCGATGACTTAATTGTAACTGCCACTGGGTATTAGTAGTTACCACTTGTTTGTTTGAGCCTTTGTAGCATGTTTTAACTCTTGTCCACTTTACTTTCTGTTGAAATTGGAGCATAAAACAGTTATATCAGCTGTCATTCCTTACTGTAATTACTGTATATTTATAGCAACCCGCACCAAATTCTTGTATGTACAGAAGAGAGGTTTAAGTTAAAATTTTGAATACAAGTGAAAAATGGATACCTGATTACTAACTTTAGAATGAATGATACTGGCACCATAATTCTTTGAGCCACCTTTTAAAGGAACCTTTTTTCAGTTTGAAAATAGCTCCAGTTTGCTTATTATGACTCTTGGAAGACACAAATGTCAGTACATGAAACTCATCCAATATAAACCATGCCAGCTGGCCAAAGCTGCCACACAGGGAAGGCTTTGTGCCTTCCTCTGTCATAGCTGATATGTTTAAACCAATTTTTTGTGTGCATGACTGTTTTGGGGGGAGTTGGGGGGTGATGAACTGAGCTGGCTTGGCCATTATTATGAATGGTCGCACTGGCATGGACGTTCATAAATCAAGGACTTCTCTTGAGTGTATCCTTGAGCAGAACTTTTCTTTCTTAAGACAAGTATTGTATACTTGTGACAGGTTAAAGTACTAACCACATTAAAACTCAAATGTTTGAGGCACAATGCAGATATGTCCTACATTGAAAAAGGGAAATGTCTTACTCTGCTTCACTTATTCTTGCTCCAGCTTAGTTACTAAATTTAAAGGGGAGCATTGAAAGTAAAACTCCTTGTGATAAAATGTCTTTCTGTTGGTTGTATTAGTGTTAACAACTGAAACAAAAGGTTCTCCATCAATATGCCACTTAATGTCCAGACTTTAAAATTGGACTTCATATGCAGATCACTAGAGTTTCTACTTAAATTCAGAATAACATCTTAGAAATGCTGATAGGATTTCAACATAAGATAGCAACAACAAAAAAAAGCTCAAACTAAGGTGAATTTTTTTTTAAAGTTCACCTAGCAAAAGGTAACTTGGGGATTGATTCCCATTCTTTTACACATGTCAAAAGAACCTTGAACTCTGATTCACTGGGGCTCTGTTACTTTGCAACAGCCAAAACAAAATCTTGTGTATAAATGAGAAAAACAAAACCAGTATACCTAATGTTCCTCTCTGATCTCTCAATTTCTATGTGAGCAGATGCAAAATAAGTATAAATGGTTGCCACAGTTCTGTGGTAAATCTTTTCCATACCTGCCTTGCTGCCTTTTATTTTGTGTAACTAAATAAAATGCAGACTGCTGTGTAACTGTAATTATCAACGTCTTCTGTGGTTGTTGGTGTCCATGTCTGTTTGTAGCATGGAGTAACTACAAATCCCTGGCACTGGCAGACGGCTTGAAAGAAACCAAGCACCTCTTACGGGGATATATTTGTGTTGGGTGGAGTTAAGGGTGTTCTGGGGGTAATGTACCACTTTAGTTGTATATGCATGTGTTCTCTGCTGCAGGCTTGCCCATGCGATCGTGCCTAGAGCACTCTGGTTTCCAGGTGACAGACACGATTCACGGTATAGTATGAGATCTCTGAAGTTGGAGCATTCTCTACAGCTTTCATTTTCTTTAGTACTGGATTTTGTTGTTTAAAAATAAGCCTTAAGTAGTACCAGCTACTACTGTCTGCATCTGAATGTTTACAGCAATAACAGAATATCAAAAAACTGCTACTTCCTTTTCTCTGCTCCCTCATAAGAGAATGGTGGCTTGAAATGAAGAGGATTAGAGATGTCTTTGGCTTTTGTAGAGCTTGAACTGGGAATTCTTCACATGCTAGATTTTAGGACTTCAGCAAATTATTATCAGTTCCTTCAGGTCTGACAGGGATAGTTGATCAGCTGCAGATCCTTAAAAGGAGAAATAATTATTGCTGAATCTAAAGCTGGTTTTGTTTCTGTACACTGAAATTCAAATTAATGTCTTCTAACACCTTCTAGAAAAGTTTTCCCTGCACAGGTCACCTCTAACCCCTGAGGCAGTTCCTTGTAATGTCGTAATTTCTGGAGATTTGAATTCCTAGGGATTTGTCTAAATCAAGGTATTGTAGTATTTTGGCATACTGAAAATTAAAGCTGAGTAAACTCAGAAAAAGTGAGTTATAACGTTAAATTTGTGAGCAGAGCTAAAATTTATTTGAGGAAAAAAAGAAATGCAAGTTCCTTCTCTATACTGAATTCTCTGGCCAAGCGCCATTTGGGATTTTTGATACAGATCTCATCTTCCAGCTACAAGAGAAATTAATTAGGGGCTTCAGGGAGAACATGTTGAACTCAATTTTCTGTGTCAAACTGCCAGATGCATAAACACTGTCTGGTCATCTTCTGATCACAGATCAATGTACACTGTCCTCTAGGATTTTGATTTTGTATCCTGCATTAAAATCAATTTACATGATCACAAATTAGACTCTGAAAACTTCTGTTGCATATAGTTGTTCACCCTTACTGAAAGTGTAGTTAGCTTTCTCGGTCTACTTTGAGAATAAACACTCCCACAATAAAAGAAGCACTGAACAAATATTTAAAGAAATCTTAAAGCTACAGAACACATGTCCATTTCTAATTTACGGAAAAGCTGAAGTTTGCATTGGTTTAGCCAAGAACAAGTGAGCTAAGTAGGTTGATCAAATGCCTCATCATAATAGGTGTTTTACTTTGAACTACTGTTCTCATAGGTGATTGTGCAATCAGGAAACAATCAAATTCTACTACTTTAATATCTGTTAAACTTAGTTTAACCAAACTCTTCTATTACATAAAATTGCATCCTGCTTACTTAATTCTCCTTGACCATACATACTGAAGACTTCCCTAACTCTAGGCTGATTACATGGCCATGTGTGAAGACTGATCCTCTCCAAGCTCCCATTTATGTTTGCAAGTTATTTACAAATTCATATTCATTCTCTTCTGGACACTAATGCTCCATGCTGAGGGAACAGAAAAGAGGAAGGGGTGCTGCAGAAGTCTCCTCTTGTGATGACTCTGCAGTACACAGCTCTGTCTCTTTCCAATGGCACAGTAGCTGCCATTAGGCTCTCTCCAGCACTAATTTGAGGTGGACTCTTGGAACTGGCTAGCTCTTTATGCACTATGACTTCTGGAAAGCAGATGCCAGTTCAGGTTCTAGGGAAAAGTCTAAACTGCTTATCTTCTGATGAACTGAACCATTCTGAGAGCACCATTTATCAGGAAAGACTCCTGGATGGTGAGTAACCTTCTGACTGCTCAAGAAAAATCTGTGAGTGGTATTGATGTAGGACATGCTTGTTCAGAGAAGCCCTCTGTAAATGACTTAATGCTATTAAGTACTTACACATTTAGCTGTAGTGAATATGTTTGGACTTCATTAATTTCCTTGAAAGGAATATAAAGTAATAGTAGTTTCCATATTGTTTTGTTTTAAACTTATTTTATTAGTGTTATGGGAAGTACTTGCTGAAAGACCATCGATTTATGTTAACTATCCTTCTTCTATAGCTTCTGAGATACTGTAACTGCATAGCTTGTATAAATCATTAGCTTCTTGTATTGTACTTAAGGCAGCTGATGTTGCTTAACTGTATTCTATTAAGTTCATATTTCCACCCTTGTTTTGGACATGTTAGAGCTTTGGAACAGAAAGGTATGCACATGGTTCTGTGAATGAAATGTTTGTGTTCAGAAGGTGGAGATGCAGGCTGCCTTTATGGGCCTCTAAAGCTAGTCCGGTTTAAACAGTCAATGGTGGAATTGCGACATAAATAGCAGCCACAAACTGTCACTAATTCTAAGCAGATATTTGCTTTCTCTTCTCCTTACCTTCAAGCCCTTTAAAGGACAATGTTTTTAATACATCTTGAATTTTAAATATGCAGTTCTATTAAAAGCATGTGCCATTGAGGGTTCAGTTGCTGATGGTATGGTTTAATACCCTGAAACTGCTTTATAATGACTGTTAACAACCCTAGCACAGTACTTGATGCATGGAATTTGTTTAAAGTTTTGCTAGTATACTACACTTCTCAGTGAGACACCTCTAGCTTACATGGGCAATTCATTTGCAGAAAAATCTTGCATTTGCACAGCCAGTGGTACATTGGACGTATAGCCTAGACAGTGTACTCTTCATTAGGAAATTCTAGTCACAAGAAATTTGCAAAATAAGACAACAGGAAAAAGTAAATGCTTTGTAACCTTCATAACATGCCTCTTTTTAATAGTGCTAAGGCTTGTATGTAATCTCTGTAATGTGTCTCAAGTGCTTTGGCTGGAAGAATATCATCCCAGATGTCATGCAGAGGGACTTAATTTTCTCTTAATTAAAAATGTTTCTCTAAGCTTATGGTACATTGAAATCTCATTTTGGTAAACTGGGAAGCAATAAAAACCTACCTGAAAATCAGGTATTTATAAGTGGCTTGGTCTCAGTGGCACATCCTTTTGAAAGGTTTTGGAATTGTTGAAATAGTGTGGTGGTCAGAGGTCAGGTGGATACTAGTACTGTAGATGTCACAGATCCATGACAGTGTTGAGACTTCTAGTTAATTGTAGCTGGCACTTCTACTCCCTTTGTTCTGGTGGTTGCAGGTTAATCATGTTAAATTTCATCTTCTCATTGTGTTTGCTTTTTCTCATCCATAGAGGTCCTGTGATAAGGGAGAGTCTGTACAGTCTCAGAAGGAAAATGACTTACAAGTGAGTAGTTAAATTTGCTTATTTTACAGGATTTTATATGCTATAGGGAAATGTAGTGATCCTGCTTGTTTTAAACCTGTAGTTACTCTACCTGGTTGTAGAAACTATGAAAAGTTTCTGGGCTGTTTCTAGAAACTGTAAAAAGTAATAAAGACATTTATTCGCTCGTAGAAGTAATATTATAATGTGAGTGTCTGGACGTAGTTTGGAAAGATTTAAGCATTCCACATCATGAAGAAACAGCCCCCAATCCTACCCTAAATTCAAACATTGGTATCAGTACTGCTATTTCTAGTATTAGACTCTTCCTTCTTTAGTAGATGAAGATCAGTACTCTGCTTTACCTATTCCTTATATTCTAATATATCGGTGAACTCCTCTGAGGAAACTAAATGGAGCAGGAGAGAACTTGCTCTTGGATACGAAGTGTTTCTGATTAGCACTGTGCTTGGATCATCTGTGTTCTGCAAACTTTAAAGTTCTTGCATTTGGAACCATTTCTGCTCACGAAGCATAATGTTTAGCTGAGTGTAACTTTTCATAAACTCATCTTAATAGGATTTGGTAATGTAGATTTCTACCCTGGCAGTATTTTTTCAGTAAGGGATGCAGCATGTTAGCCAGATGCCTTGCTTATGTACTATCAGTTTTCAGCTCTGTAATGATTTTGGCAGTGACTAGGGAAAAGTACATTTTACTCAATTGATGAGTACTGCTTTTCTCCCTTTGGTATTCCCATAAGGCAAAAAATACATCTGAAACAGTTTAAGCATTTGGATTTTTTTTTTCTAGTGAGTTGAAACTGGTTTTAAATTTTTTGTTGTTGAATGACTGCTTTTGAAGTTTTGTTGAACTTTCAGTTTAGTTTACTGGAACAGCTTCAATCAGTTGAACCAAGACTGAACTGAAAAATGTACTATTTTGCTACCTCAGTTTTCTTCAGTGATGAAAAGTGGAGGTGGCTTGATTTCTCCTTTACCCTGATTCTGTAAAAAAAAAAAAATTCTTTAAGTTTTATAAAGAAAATAAAAACCCAAACAAGCCCCACCCTGGTGCCAGAGGTTCATAGAAATTTTGCAGTATGGGAAACAAGGTTTTGAACTTCAGAACCGTCTGTTGCCTAAAAATAGTGATTCTCTGCTGGTAGGTTATTGTTTTCTGCTGTTAGTTTTGTAGTGCTAAAATTTCACTGTTGAATCAGTGTTCTCAAGAATTACTGTCAGAGTGGGCTTGTTAATCTTCCTGTGCCTAGGTAAAAATTGTATCCTGCTTGGATGTCCTTTAGAGAGAATGAAATCCTCTGGGTTCACTAGCAAAAGAATTGTAGCTATTCTGAGCTGCCTGGTGTGTGACTAGTGTGAGTAGATGTTGGCTAGTCTTCTGTCAGCTCATAAGGTCTTTTAATAGGGATTATCTAAGTTTTATCTTGGTTTTGCTATAGTTAGGGGTAATTTTCCTCAGAATATGACTATTTTGTACATCATTTACTTGATTACAGTGCTTGATCTTTTAAAAAGTTGTCAGGTGAACATTTAGATGGGGAGTCAGATTCTTAGATTTGTTCAGTGTCTGTATGAGGTATGCTATAGAATTTTCTATGTCCTTCAGTAGCTTATTTCCACACCTATGCTTGACAAATAATGTATGGAGTGGAGACTTGGTAAAAGGTCCATCAGGTATTATAAAGCGGGAGCCTTTGTGCCTGAGATTTCATGGACAGTATTATTGCAGAGCTCTAACAGGACTTGTTCTCAAGTGACTCTCCTGTTACAGTAGAGGAAGTTCTTCTGGTACTCTAAACTTTTTTCTTTTAAGGCTAAGGTATCAGAGCTTTCAAGCTTGAATATTCTTACACTGCTGCTTTTAGATAACATTTACCTGTATTTTTTAATATTGAAGTAGCTCTTTCAGTATTTCTGGTTGTCACTTCTGATAAATGAAGGGACATCTTAATGAATAACATTTTTTGTACTTGCTGTTATCCAAGAACCATGACTTGGTTTTCCAGTAAGATGTGAAAACAAGGAACTGACATGTTAATGGGAACAGACTTTTAAAACACTCTGGCGTTGAACCAGGCACAGACAAAGTCAGTATTGGTTAATAATGGAGTGGACATTCAGTAACTTGTATCTAGTTTGCTTTTTGGTGCTTGGCATTAGGTTTCAGAATTGAACAGAAAAGTTCAGATCTGGTGGTGGGGGCATGTGAAATGACTAAAAACATATTTTATTGTGTTAGTGGATAATGCATTTATTGCTTTGAGGAGTTGAAATGAAAAAATGGTGGAGAACAGATGCAATACAGTCATATGGAAATTGTCTTTAGTACTCCAGGGTGGATCTTCTGTAGACTTATTTACTGACTGATACTGCATTGACTGCAATAATGCAAAAGGCTCTGTAGTCAGAAATACCTGAGAGCTTTCTTAAATTTGTACTCTTAATTCTTATACTTTTAAGTGTCAGGGGTCAGACTTTTGAGATGAGTTGCTCAGAAACAGGCAGAGGCTTAGCAGATCACTAGGGTTTGAGTACAGCTGGGTTGTGGTTAACATAATTGCTTGAAGTAGTGATTTATAATGTGGGTTCTGTGTTTACTTACAGATAATCTTGCCTATCAAGAAAGTTATACTTCAGTGATTTAAACTGTATTTTGAGACATTTCATACTTATATTAATTTTTAAACATTCATATTAAAAAGCTGTCTGCATGTGGTTGTTTACATGTGGACCAAGTTTACTGACATAAGGAAAACCTTGGATAAAAGTTATTGAAGCTTAGGTATGTTGGCAGTAGAAAAGGAATAATGTGGTCCTTGGGAGTTTCAATTACTCTCTCAAAAAAAATAAAATAGGGAATACCTAAAATGTGCTTGATGGAATCCTAAGTCATTCTTCAAAGTGAAAAATTTAGTTCAGGCATTCACTCTATTCACTTGTGTTGTTAAAATGTCCTGTTGTAAGGCTGTGATCTGAAGTGTGTTAAAATAGTTAATGCAGGATAATATTTGTAGTTTCTGTACTTCAGTAGGATAAACTCCTTCAGGAAATGAATTTGCAGAATTCCACAGGTCAGAGAGGAGAGGATATTTGATTTTTGCCATTTTCCTTTGACCTGACCCACCAACAGTACCTGTACAGATTTTCCTCCCCAGCTTTAAACTTGAAAGCAAAATACTTGTATTGCTCCCATACTGACTAAAAGTTATTAGTCAAGGAACTTTGGCTAGTAAAATGTTAAGTCTTCTTTTTAAAGCTAGCCCTAAAACATCTCACTTTGTAGCAGTTTAGCTGTTGTGTACACCCAAGTTAATTTCCATGCAAGCACCAACTAATGCTTTAATTTTTTTGATAGGGGGCAGAAACCATGGTTCTGGAAAGTGTTATGTTTGCCATCCTTGCAGAGAGAGCGCTCGGCCCAAAGCTGTATGGAATCTTTCCACAAGGGCGACTGGAGGAATTCATTCCTGTAAGTCCTGTTCATAATTAGTTAGTGGGTGGCTGGTAGCTGTTTTAATTAGTCATGACAAGAAGGTCGCTGGACTGCCCAGAAAAGCAGAGATGTGGGAATAGAATACTTGGCAGCTTGTAGTAATTGCTGGCTGAAATTTGATACGGTTATAGTGGGTGTTGGAGAGCCCTGTTATAGCTCTTGCCAGGGAGAGATATCTAAAAACTCTTTAGCTGTAGCAGAGGCTAATAAATGAAGATAAAAAGCTTGTTAGATACCAAACATAGCATGGGAAGCTATGGAGTCACACTTCCCTCTAACAGCAACAAGAGCAGATGCTTTTGATGTTCTTAAACATTTATACTCATTCTGCTTTGAAGATATTCTTAGTGTGAGATGTGATACTCCCCAGGTCTTGATCTAGATGAGAATTGATTAAGTCATAAGTAAGCTAGGCTGGCTAATTCAGCTTTTCCCAAGGCAACAATTTTATAAGGTCATCTGGGATGAAAAAAGTCTATTTCTTGGGTACCGTGCTAGTATTTTACACTATATTACATAGAGACTAATGCTAGTGTTTGTAATTAATCACACTTTTGTAATTAATCAATTAACTGTACTTTAAGAATACTGTGTTTTATTACAGAGCAGGAAACTGAGGACTGAAGAACTAAGCTTACCTGACATATCTGCTGAAATAGCTGAGAAGATGGCTAGATTTCATGGCATGAAAATGCCATTTAATAAAGAACCTAAGTGGCTTTTTGGAACAGTGGAAAAGTAAGTTATGCAATACTTCGAGAAAAAAGGTGACCTGTTGTAATGTTGATAAGCAGATCATTCTTCCTGAATTTCTGAGAACACAAGCTCTCACTGTACCTAGAAGCTGTTACATGAAGTAACGTAGTATGGGAAGAATAATATACTCATTGTCACAAGTGCTGTATTATTGTCTGGTTTTTTAACAGGTATCTAAATCAAGTGCTGAGAATTAAATTTACCAGTGAATCCAAAACCAGAAAACTGAACAAACTTCTCAGTTACAATCTCCCTGAAGAAATGAAAAGTCTAAGGTAGGCTTATTTTGTTTATTGCTATCTTCCAATTTGCAGTTTCTGTATGGATTTTTGTATATTTGTTCAAACATATTATACAGTATAACACCCTATATTCATTTTACTTTACAAGCTGGGGATTGTTTTTGGTTCTGTAGCCAACCTGAATCTCATATGACCACAAATTGATGCAATCAAATTGCTTATCTGACTTTCTGATCAGTGAAGTTAAACTTGATTGTGCTGATGTTTGACTACTAATTGAGAAAATAAGGTCTTACTGGGAAGGAATAGCACTTCAAATTCTTATAACAAAATTCATCTTCACCTGGAAATGGAACTGAACTTAGTGATTTGTTACTTACAAGATCCTATATTGCTGCTTTTTAGAGCTATGCTTGAAGCTACTTCATCACCAGTTGTATTTTGCCACAATGACTGTCAAGAAGGTAAGCTGCCAATATTTGTCTTGTTCAGTGATGTAATACTGAGCTTTTTCTGGTTACTTGTTTGTTCTCTGACAGGCAGCCACGTTGTGGAGATGCTGGTCTGGCAGCTGCCCTGGAGAGCAGCCTGTGCTCTCTGGTGCAGTAGCAAAGCAAAGGGTATTGGCTTCAGCAACCCTTGAGGCTTTTTAAGAGAACTCTGGTATCTAACTGGGTTAAGCCAAACATGTATAGTGCTCTGTTAGTACAGGTCAGTTGATGATGGGAGCCTTGGGTGTTTCTGTTTAGACCATGCCTTTCTTTGCTGTCTGCAATATACATGATCAGGGTAAGATAATACTTCAGTTGTTTTAAAAGATACTGAGAAAGTAAAGTGAGTGGTGAAAATGGAGACTAAGGTATTTTGACTGAGCAGTTTTCATTTTGTACTGATAAGAAACATTAGGAAAACCTTATCCACCTTTTTTAAGTGCTCTCTGGGACTCATGGAAGGAATAGTAATTTTCCTGAGTCGGTTATTGAAAAAGATGAAGAGGAGGCAGGACTGAAGGTGTTGGGTATGCTGTGTGCTCCCTGTCACCTGTACAGTGGGTAAGCTGGGCTGAGCTGGAAGGATGCTGTACTGGGACCATATGCTGTTTTGTTCTCAGGGGTCCCAGCCTTGTTAACAAAGGCTGAGGAATTAGCCTGGAAGAGGACTGCCCTGCGGAAGAGACACATAAGGATAGGCAGCACAAGGGAAATTGGTTGAAGTCTGAAGAGCTAGCTCAGTAGTGGTGGAGTTTGAGGTCTTATTGCTGATATGGCAAGGTGCTGTACTAGAGGAGTCAGAGCATAATAGGGCTAGGGCAAGCTGTGGAGCCTAAAATTCCAGGGGATTTGGGGGGTGGTAGTTCTGTAAAATACTATGATGTTGGTGCAAGGGTATGGCATGGAGAACAGATGTATCTGTAGAGAGGGGTCAAAATATTGCAGAAATTGACCTTACTCTGAATTTGTTTACTAACTGGCACTTGAGAAAGGCAGACTTGATGTCTTTCAGATGAATTACAGTGACTATGTGAATTGAAACACAGATAAAGCAGTGTCCTGAGTTTTCTGTAGGTATTGGTGATGCCACGTATTAGAACACCAGAGTGGTCAGACTGTGGCTCTCAGGCTGCTGAAAAGCAATTTCTGTCCCAAGTGTTGTGTGATCAATGATAGTGCTACACAGATATGAGAGATGGTGCAAAATCTATAGATCTCGAGCTGTAGAAAGAAACAATGCAACAAGGACTGCTAAGGCTGACAGTGCCACCTGAGTTAGTTCTAAGAAACAGGAATACTTGGGAGAACAAATCTACCTCTGCCTGTAGAGATGAAAACTTTCTTCTTCCAGCTTTACAAGGTTTATCATATATATCTCAATTTCCAGTGAGCTGGTGAACAGCCATTACAACTTGGCTTTTCTGGTTTGTGGTTTAACTAAACCCAGCTGGCAACTCAACCCTGCAGAACCTCTCACTTGATTCCTGCAGTGGGATGGAAGAGAGCATTGGAAGGGTAAAAGTGAGAGCTCATGAGTTGAGATAAAGGCAGTTTAATAGGGAAAATGAAAGCCATACCCACAAGCAAAGCAAAACAAGGGAGTCATTCACTGCTTCCCATAGACAGGCAGGTGTTCAGCCATCTCCAGGCGAGCTGGGCCCCATCACGTGTAATGGTGACTTGGGAAGACAAATGCCTTGGCTCCAAATGTTCCCCCTCTTCCTTCTTCCTCCCACTTTGTATACTGAGCACGATGCCATGTGGTCTTGAATATCCCTTTGGTCAGCTGGAGTCAGCTGTCCTGGCTGTCCCCCCTCATAACTCCTTGTGCACCCCCAAGTCCCATTTTGGAGTGGGGTGTGAAGCAGAAAAGACTTGGCCTCTGCATAAGCACTGCTCAGCAGTAGCAAAAACATCCCTGTGTTATCAATACTCTTTCTGGTACAAATCCAAACATGGCCCCATGCCAGCTACTATGAAGTAAATTAACCCCAGCCAAAACCAGTACACCCATAATTCTTCTGTGCAGGTATAAGGGATAACTGGGATTAGCTGAACAATGTTTCTTAAGATATACAGTATTGTTTTTCTCTAATTTTCCTGGCACCTTATTGAACATGCAGTATTATCTTAATTTTCAGGTAATATCTTACTTTTGGAAGGCAGAGAGAATTCAGAAGACCAAAAACTGATGCTCATTGACTTTGAATACAGCAGCTATAATTACCGGTAAATCATTTTATTTTCTATACAGCAGGAAAATGTATTACTTTCTACATGCTACAGGGAGACCAAGTGCTGCAGTATTGATTGTCTGTCCATTCTAAATTGTGTTCTGGACCATTAGTGGTGGTCAGCAAATACAACTAGTCAAAACAGCTCTGGTCCTGATGCTGTTGAGTATAGGCACACAGCAGGGGCAAAGCTGTTGGAGCTCCTTGGTTGTCCAGACTAGAGGGCTTGTTTATGCACAAATGGCTTCTGGCTTGCATGTCAAAATTTCTTTCTAGTGGGAAGCTGGGAAGGGTATATTGTATGTGTTTGCATGCATATAGGGCAGCTTTGCTTTTGTGGTTTTTCTTTCTGTCCTGTCTAATGGCTTTCTCATTTATGCAGATGAGTAATCCGAGGTTTTTCACTACATGGTTACACAACATGCTTTTTGTTCTTCCCTCAGTCGTGTAGTGAACTGTATTTTAAGGTTGATCTAAGTGTGTGAAGTCATTGGGATCATTAAACATTACCATAGCTGGAACATAATGAAACACCGAATTCCAATAATGTAAAAGTAGATATGTTGAATACTTTGAATATGATCTCTTTGCCTGTGATAATGTTAGAGATGTGTCTGACTTCATGCTGAGATGTACTGCATACTCAAGTATTTTTAATGTCTATATTGGTATGGAATTTGGTAGCAAAGTTTAGGTTTTTCATGTAGATGGTAGTTTTCATTCTTAACTGCCCATCTTAACTAAATGGTTTTTATAATTTGCAAAGAAGTTTTATTCTAGTCATCAATTCTCTACCTCCTTCAGCAAAACTGAAGTAAGTTCTGAGTAGGCTTGTGCTTTTAAACTTGATTTTAGGTTTGCTTAAACAAAAGCAGATTGTTAGTTTGCAAATACTGAGGTTCTTTTTCTTTTTCAGAGGATTTGACATTGGGAATCACTTCTGCGAATGGATGTATGATTACTCGTATGAAAAATACCCATTCTTCAAAGCTAGTATTCTTAAATATCCTTCAAAGAAACAACAGGTAGACACATAAAACATAATTAATAAAATGCCAATGACCAGTTTTCAAATCTTAACTCTTTTTCAATTCTCTTTTGGACTTATTGTGTCCCAAGAACTTTCCTCCATGTCTTCCTTAGATGTAACACTGCCTGTAATCCTGGCTACCTTTGCTTTAATAATAATAGTAACTTAATAGCTATTCAGGATAGACTATTTACTATGTGCCATGTAGCAATCCACCACAAAGAGTCCAGTTGCAGACTGCAACTCTGAAATGAATTTCCAGTAGCAAAATGTTGCCTGTCCTAATATTATGTCTTCTTAAACCAGACTTCCAAGCAGTTATTAGAACCACCATTAATATTAAAGTGAACTCCAGCACTATTCATATTTGGGAAAAAAATAAATGGCAGCATATTGGAAGGTCTGCCTACGTCTGAAAGAAGCAAATATGTCTTTAGAGGCAAAGTTGTAACTCTGTTGTTTACCTGCCTTCTAGCTTCATTTTATCTCCAGTTACCTGTCTGCATTCCATGATGGCTTTGAAAGCCTGAGCAATGAAGAAAAGTCCAAACTAGAAGAAGAAGTTTTGGTAGAAGTTAACAGGTAACTTGTCTTGTACAACTGTATCTCAAGTTACAGGTACACTTTGAATCCTATACTTACAACTACCTCACTGGGTGGAGAAAATTGAGCCAAGAGAGATTGTAAGCTATTTATATGTGGTAAAGAACAATCTGTCTATTGCAGTATTATGTGATACACAAATACTGGCATAGACAAAATACTACTACATGGGGAAGCTGATGGAATTATTTTTGTCATACTTGAAGAAAAGGTGTGGACATGCCCACACTAGGGAATACTGTTCTAGCAGGACATTGAAATAAGGTGTTGTGACTTAGCTGGGTATCTCAATAAACATAGCCCTGTAATTTCAGGTTTGCCCTTGCATCACACTTCTTCTGGGGTCTGTGGTCTATTATACAAGCAAAGATCTCGTCCATTGAGTTTGGTTACCTGGTAAGTTCTTTAATTGTAGTTTCACACAACTAAAAATGTGTAATCTAAACCTGTGGAACATTATCAGAAAGTAAATGAAATGGCCTCTCATAGCATCTAATATCTTTTAAGTGGAGTAAAGATTTTTAAAATCCATTTGTTACTAGTTTGTGCTCTTTCCTTAAGAATGTAAAAAACTTCTAATATTTTAAAAACTTCTTAAATTCTTCCCATTGGTATGTTTAGAGTCTATAGACTTATGTGTCAGGTCTTGCAGTGGGATGATGCCTTGCAGTGGTGCATTCTTCTGCAATAAGGCATTCTGTGCAAGAGGGAAGCTAACATGCAATGAGTGTGAATTTTGAAACTGAATACTCAAAGTGCACATGAAACAACATATTGATGTTTAGTGTGCAACAATATCAATGCCAGGTAGCTGCTTGTACTTGAGAGACTGATCAGTCTGACTCTTGATCTGTGCTCGGTGTACTGTAAAATTGATATGACTGTCAGGTACATGGAATATCTTGCAGGAACTGTTGCAGGAGCCAGCCTTTTCAGTGAAGTCCTGACCTTTGCAGTACCTGTTTTTTCTGACGTTTGGGCAGCAGTTAATTGTGTTAGAGTTTAAATAAGATTGGAGGAAATTTTAAGAGGCCAGAACACCTTTGGAGAGATTATCATTCCCAAATAGAGCTAATTAGTGCATTGAGATGATGGATTATGAGAGTAACATAGTTAATACTTTCATTATGCTTCCCCTTCCCAAATAAGAAAACTGAGCTGTTTGTTGAGTACTAAATGTCCCTTATTTCTCCAGGAATATGCATTATCCAGATTCGATGCCTACTTTGATCAGAAGAGGAAGCTGAAGGTGTGAATGTGGGAGGAGTGGCCTGTTGGTTACTGTATGAAGAGGGCAGCTGGACAGAACTTTCACTGTGCTTAGGCTACTGTATCTCTAACGAAGGTGTCACTGAATTCCAGTTCCTGGGAATGCAGGTGTACAGTACTGAAGACTATAAAAATGACTTGTTTACAGTTTCGTAAATACTTGGAATGAGATTGGGGGGCAAAAGTAAAATACAACAGTGCAATATCTTTAAATCTTTTCAACCTAGAAGCTATATTATGGGAGAAGCTTACAATTAAGTGTCAATACCACATGCATCAGAGCAAACCTACTGTGAGTACTTTTGGGGGGGTGTTGGCATTATGGTTTGTGTTGTAAGCAGAACAGCTATAAAAGATGATTGATTCCTCTTCATGAGAAGGAAAAGCGTAGGAGACAACTGCTAAACTGTGAAGTAGGCTTAAAAACTTACTGTGAGGTTAGGTTCAACATGCCCCATGAACACTATCTTCAAAGCTGCTGCTAAGTTACACCACTTTAACCAGAAGCAACTAAACACATTGAAGCAGAGTGCTTTAAAGTGTTACTGACACATACATGAATGTTTCTCTTAAGCTAGTGTGCCTGGGAAGTGAAGTATGAGTGAGCTTTGAACTGGGCATTCTGATGGAGTTTGTTTTGAACTGTTCATTCCATGTCCTTCAAGAACATGCTTTAGCCCAGCCTGGTTGTCTCTTAAAATGCTGTGTCCTGCACAGGGGGTTCTGTGGACTGGCAGCACTAGGAAGAGTGCCTTGAATTGCTCTAGTAGCTCCCCAGATAACTGGATTGGCATTGACAATACTGGTAACTGAAGCCTGTCTCTCTTCTTGTGTTGCCACAATATCTGGCTGTCAGAAATAGTAGAGCCAAAGACTGGAGAACACTTCAGGAAATTGTTCTGCCCATCCAGTCCTTATGTGGCTTGGGAGGTGCTTCTCTTGCACCTTCAATTCTCATCATGTTCCAGTGATTCAGTAAAGTGGAGCATCTTGTGGGGAACAATAACATGTATATTGAAACTTGAGTATAATCTATGTACATGTCATCTAAAGATTTCTTTAGATTTTTGGGAGCTTGTTTATTTTGAATGTTACTTGTTTGTGCTTTCTAACACACTGTATTATAAATAAACTTCTAAGTCTACACTTTTTGACTTGTATAGCAAATACTGTTGCAAGCAGCTGAAAAATGTGCAGCATTTCATGTACTGTATAGCATAACTTGTAAAAGCTGTCATTTTATTCTCTTGTATAGAGCGTCATTTTCCATATGTTCAATTATTAATACTTTATAATAAATATAAAGCACTTAAAAACATTGTTATTGTCTTTGTTATAGCTGTGGGATAAAATAGGTGCTGTTTCTGGCCTTAATGCTGGAAGTGCTTCCTTGCAAAGGTAGACTGAGATACAGGCTCAGTGCTGTGGAATGTATCTTAGACTTAAAGGTGTCTCTAGCATTTATTGTCTGACTGAATACTAATAGAAACAAAGGTGTTTTAAGCAAGCGACAAAAAGCAGGCTGAACAACAGTTTAGAAGTCTGTAGCTGTAGAGGTGGGAAAAGTTTTAGTTTTAAGCATTTTACTGTATCTGCCCTGTTAACTACCCTCAAAATGAAGGTTAAAATTACCAGCACATTGAATTTTACTGCAAATATTTAATCTGATGTGCAAGTATAACTAGCCAAGTAATTTCTCTAGACCACTGAAGGCTTCATTTAATGTACTGTTGCACACAAACCCAGTGGAAATGGCAGTGGTAGTGAAAGGTGTGGGAGCAAATAGTTCAGAATGATGCTTTGCAGCTAGTTGAAAAGAACTGATATGTAGTAGGTGTCTTGATTCTGTAGGAAGCCTTGTTTTTTATTCCAAAGGTAGGTTCAAGTTCCTGAGAAAGCTGTGGAGAATGATTCATGCATTGCATTTCATGCTTCTTAGAATCAAAAAGGGAAAAAGACTTGGTCATGGTAGTACAAACTGTAAAAAAGGCTTCATTAGAGGCAAAGCCCTTTCTTAGGGTTAAGATGACTCTTGTTAAACAAATTTGGAGAGAAAACTGAAGTTCTTTGGTAAGATGCCTCAAGTAGGTCCCAGAACTGCAGTTGTACATCAGTGTTACTACTGAGGTTTCTGAGGGTGAGGAAAGACCCTGGAGGAAAGCGAAGTATGCTCCAACTTGTCTTTTGTAATGAAAATTCATTTTAAAGAGGATAAGATTCCCCCAAGTGTTGTGTGGTACACTTAGTGAAGGAGACATTGGTAAGTAAAAAATAATGAGCAGAGAGACTTAGTTTCTCCTTGGTGTTTTTTTTTTTGTATATTTACCTATGAAAGGCAGGTTCTTCAGTCTTCTTGGAGAACTTGCAGTAGACAAACACAAACTGAGTGCAGCCTTCTGTTATTCATAGTCATAGAACGTTGAAGTGGATTTATAAGCTGACGAAGCAGCTATTTAAGTGTATTGGCATTTCTAATGGTCTTGTGAAGCCATATTCATAAGACTTGGGACAAATGTAGTTAAGCATTTCTTAGTTCTTTAACTGTAACCATTTTGAAATTAATCTTTTTTTTCATAAAGGCAGTTTTAAAACTACTGATTGATTCAGGTGATTTGTAAATACAACTTGTGCTTGAACTCTTTCTTGAAACTGGTGGGTTTTATTTCCACACTGAATTCTTGTCTCTGGACCTGCTATTAACGGGTGAAAATGTAGCTTTGTAGAAGAGTTAAAAGAACAAACCCCCCCCAAAAAACTCCTTTTACTTTTAAAGGAAGGTCTCAGCTGCCCCTTTGAGGTGATTCAGTGGGTAGTTGGTATAGCTTAGGGTGTACCCATATCACTCCCATGGCCATTTATGTAAGAAAAGCCCAAATGCTTGGACTAAGTGTCCCACTACAGCTCATTAAGGATCTTACCCTGTAAAATTCATCCTGCACAGTCTTAGGGCCTTCTCTGAAATCAAAAAGAAGTAGATATTTCTGGGCTGAATTGGATACAATCAATCAGTAAATTAAACATCTTTGATAGTGGTGATGCCACTAAAAGAATAACACTATTTTTGGAGTTGCTGTTCTCTAGAGAATTGATTAGGGAGGAAGTTTATTTCCAGCCTTACCCTCAGGGAACACACTGTGAGGTGAAACAATGGCAAAAAGCAAGAGCAGCTTTTGCTCTCAGTGTAATGTGACTCTTGGTTTTTCCACCAAATGTACAGGGTTTTGCCAGTGTGGGAAGAAACTGGGATTTACCACTATTTTGACTAGTTACTTTTTGAGAACTGCTGTTTTTCGCTGCTAGGCTTCTTCAATAATGGGTCAGAAGATCCTGTTCACTAATGGGAAAATTTCACCATGGCGGTTGGGCATTCTTTGCAGTGGCTTTGAGGTGCGATAGCGTTCTAAAAAGCAATTACATGAAAACATAACTTTGCAAGTCAGCTCCCTTTCTCTCAGTTTCCTAATATCAATAAGAATTTCTGCTTTTTCCTTCATATTAACTTGGCTGAGTTCACACTACGGTTTAAATGGAACAATCTGGCTTTCACTCCTTCAGGTTGATATAATTATTTATCCCAGGTTATTATGGCTGTGGATGCCCCCTCAAGGGTGCACTGGGCTTGCAGCTGTGTTGTCCATGGACCTAATTTGTCATGCAATTTTACTAGACATGATGATAGGATGGAAGGAACCTAGCTTAATTCTGCAAGAGTGTGGCCCCCACCTTGAGTCCTGTGTGTAGTTTTGGGCACCACAACATTAAAAAGCTATTAGAGAGTGTCCAAAGGAGAGCCATGAGACTGGTGAAGGAAGAGAAGCCATAGGAAGTGGCTGAGGTCACTTGGTCTGTTCAGCCTGGAGGAGACTGAGGGGAAACCTCACTGCAGTCTATAACTTCCTCATGAGTGGAAGCAGAGGGGCAAGGACTGATCTCTTTACTCTTGTGACTAGTGATGGGTTTCAAGGAAACAGCTGAGGAAGCTGTGTCGTGAGGTTTAGATTGAATATCAGGAAAAGTTCTTCACCTAGAGGGTGATTGGGTGCTGGAACAGGCTCCTCAGGGAAATGGTCATAGCACCAAGCATGTCTGAGTTCTAGAAGCATTTGAACAACGCTCTCAGGCACATGGTGTGACTCTTGGAGTGTCCTTCACAGGGCCCAGAGTTGGGCTCGATCCCGATGGGTCCCTTCCAACCCAGTATATTCTATGAAAAATCTGTAGGACTGGGAACTGAAGAATGCATTCTCTGACTTGTAATAGGAAATGAGAAAGCCAATAAATTCATTCCCAGGATGAAGAAAGATGATTGTCCTTAGCCCAAGTGCCAGCACCTCAGAGCCTATGTATTCTGCTTTACAACTGCACTGCTGTGGGTTCCCGAGGTTCAGCTGATAAGTTAAATCACACTGAATCTGCTTGATGCCTCAAGATACCAGTTTGTCTTCTCCACAGACCACATCAGCAAGTCATCAAGCTTTCCAGGGTTAGTAAAATCACAAGTCCAGCAGTCAAGAGAACCTGCTGCTGTTTCTCCACCACAGTTCAACTATCCTAGCGCACTGACAGCCAGTGCAGGGAGGCGCCTGCAGCTGCCGGGCAGCACAGCCCTGCATTCTTTCAGTGCCTTACAGAAAAGCAGGTAGGTAGAGGAAACACTGTTTGCTGTGCCTTAGGAAGACAATAAGGCTTTTAAGAATTCAAATCCTTCCTTGAGAGATTCTTGAGGCAGCCTTGGGTGAGTTCCCTCAACAGTCAGGCAGGATTGTCTCTGATGCCAGCCTGGGTCTGCATGAAGCAGCAAATGGAACATTTCACTGGAGATGAATAGATGGCCGTAATGGCTCTGGACTGAAATAAAATACAGCATACACTCACAGGCTCCTGCCAGGAAGCAAAAAGGAGCTTCTGTACTTGGTACCCAGGCAACGAAGCTGATCACTAGCAAACAGGCTACTTGTGTTTTCTGAATGCAAGATTCACTTTTTATGGATTTCATTTTCAAAGTATGCAGATCTTCTATTGCCTCAGGGTTAAGTGCTATTTTATTGTATTATAATGTGCAAATATGATATGATTTGTACTTACCAGTCTCTTTAAATAGGGATTAGCCAATAAAGTCTGACTGCAGTCTAGTCTGCCTTTCATGAATGAGCCCTGCCTTAGGAGAAAGCATCCTGACCAGGAGCCGGGTTGAGACATGAACAGGTGTAGCACCGAAGCGCTTGTCTGAGGAATGGTGCTAGAAAAGGCAGGAGAGCAAGCTGAGGAGATTGGATTTGTTACAGGTCATAGGCAACTCTGGCAGAGCCAGGAACAGCGTGCAGCACTTGAATTCCACTCCAGTATATTGAACTAAATATCTTCTCAGAAAGCCTTACAAATGCTGCCTCTGCTGCCAGTCCTAAGGAATGTTACTTTTATTCACTGTTCCCTTCTTTTGGAAATAAAATACAACTCGGCAATCAGCCATCCTTCCTAATTTTCAAAGCCCACAACTTTCAAGGTCCCATAAAGTCAGAGCTGGCATCTGCTCTAAAGAGCTCTGTGAGGGCATCGAGGAGAAGCTCCCAGCTTCCACCAAGTCGGAAATACAGCAGTCAAAAGGCACAGCCTTGAACAGAGTTGAAATGCTACCAGTTGCCTGTGTCCTGCCTTGAAACAGAGCTCTCCCCACCTAGGAGGACATAGCCTCTTGCTGGGCAGAGAAAAATCACTGCCTGCAATCATCTCAAACATTTGTTGACCTCTGCTCTGGTGTTTGCCATCTGGAAACTCTCAGTTTCCTCTGCATGTGTTTTTTTCTCCCTGTCACTGCAGTTCCTCCTACAGCCTGTGAGGCAGCTGCTATGCTGTATTTGTCTTGACTCTGTGTACTGAATGAAAGGGTATAGCAGTTTCTGTGTTAAAATCCCAAATCTTCCATCCTGAATAATCCCACTAAGGCCATGCTCTTGCTGTACCTCACTGAAGCATGATACACTGGAAGTCAGCTGAGAATGAACCTATTGAAAAAGTAAATAAAGAGAACAATGAATGGAAAGGAGGAAGGAAGACTGCTGTAATTACCCAACACAAGGAATATTAAATAATACAATAATTTCCTCAGGAAGAGATTATAGAGGATTGTGTGTAATGTCTCAAGTCTGAAGGGCTTAAAAATTCACCTTAGAATGAAAGTCTAATTAGAAGGCTACAGCTGTAAAGATAAATAGTTATTTCTCAAATCCCTCAGTAGAGTTGTTTGGAAAAATACTGGTTTCTCTTTAGGAATAAAATTAATCAAACTATTCATTTACATTAAATTACATTTTGGATCAG